ACAACCAACCGATTAACTGGCCTGAGCTGTCTTCAAAGGGGAAGGCTTAATGCAGCGCCGGGCAGTGACAGGACGAGCTTGCGAAGGCACCTGGGATGTGTGGGACAGAAGCGACCTTCTTCCAGGAGGAAAAACGTTTTGTCGTCAAGAAGCGTGCTTGCACCTACCTGGAGCTGCGGAACTCTGTGTTAGATAGGAAGTAAAGGTACAGAGTAATAATAATAATAAAAAAAGGCAAAAGAAAAGAGAACAAAAAGATCCCCCCCAACCAACAAAAACCCTAAAAAAGGCAAAAAACTCCGAGGGGAAAAAAAAAAGGAAAAAAACCCCCCAAAAAAATTTTAAAGGCAAAAAACCCCCTCAAAAATATAGAAAAACAACCGAAAAAAATCCCCCCAAAACAACAAAAAACCCCAACAGGCAAAAACTAAAAAAGCAAAAAACCCAAAGCGCCCTAAAGGCAAAAAAACCCCACCAATGACAAGAAAAAAAAAAAGCAAAAAAAACCCCACCAAAACCCCAAAAAGCAAAAAAAAAAAAAAAAGCACAAAGAAAACCCTGAAGAAAAAAAGGAAAATCTGGAAAAACAAAAACTCCCAGAGAAACAGAAAAAAAACAGAACAGCAAAAAAGACACCACCACCATCACCACCCCCAAAAAAAAGATAAAAAAGAGACAGAGACAAAAAAAAAAAAAAGACAAAAATGGGACAAAAAACCCAAAGTCAGACTCTGGCCACACCAAGCCTGCTCTTTCAGGTAACTGCCACGTACAAAGAACAAGCAATATTCCACGACGTCAGAGAAATAAAAGGCTGTCCAGGTAGCCTGTAGGATTCTGGTTCATTTATTGAGTACATGACAGATAAGACAGACAGACAGTGTAAAATCACATGTATTATTTGTACTTTTAAAAAATTACAATAAATTACTGAATAATTAGTAAAAGCAGTTTTACTAACAGCTGCTCTCCAGCGATACAGGACAGAGGAGGCAGAGAAATAAGAAATATGTACCAGCTGTGAATACATACAGAGAATGTCACACGGAGGAATTAACACTGAGTAGCACACCAAGTAGTGTTACATGGGAACATCCAGCCGTTTGTGTCCTTCCCGTCCTTTACATCCGAACGCCAGCCAAAAGCTGCAGCAAACCTTGCCTTCAGTGCAGGGTCTGCTCTCGCCGAGCAGCATCATCTCTCGCTCTGGCCCTACACGGCAGATGCCTGCGTACTGAGATGAATTTATCTGTAGGAACAGCATTAATTCTCCTTCCTTGGAGCGCATGCCCTACGACCAGAAGGCTCTTTGTTTCTTCTGGTTTTAACTGATTTAAAAGAGCAGTCACTTAGTCTCCCAGTTATTTTGTCTCTAACTGGAAAGAGATCTAGTCTATTGAGGTTTCCCATAATGCGCTGATGGCAGAGGGCAACACTGCTTTGAATTCGTCCTCTTTAGGTATAAATGCGCTTTGATGCGTAGTAGTTTCGAAGAACATGTCCATTGCTAGACTTTTTGTAGAAGAGATGTTCAGAAAGGACACACTGAGCAGCTTGCAGGTGGCACAACACTCCTGCACATCTTCCTGCCTGAAGCATTTGTGAGGGCTGACTGATCAAAGTATTCTTAGGGGGGTCCTAAAATTGGACCCATCGCTAGCTAGTGAAAGTGGAGAATCAGCAAGAAACAACGAATGTTTTCTATACCAACAGGGAAAGTCCAGCAGACCAGCATGCTGCTGCCCTGTAACACCAAGGCTGATTCACCAATTTATAATTTAGGAAAATATTCCCTCATTATTACCATCATGAGCCTGTTGATTGACTTAATGTTACTTCTGCACTGAAGTCAAGGAGCTTGTGGCTTTCCAGACAAACTAAAACCAATGGCTTTCAAAGAATTAGAAAAGCAAATGCTAGAAAACTGGGTTTGTCTGAAAACGCCTAAATGCTGAAGGAGAAAGTGATCATACACTATGAAAATGCCAAATCACATCTGAAAGAAACCTACAGATCTGTGAAATGTCTGTGTTTAGACCTTGGGGTGCTGGGAGCAGTGGGGCGCATTTGCATTATAGCTGCTGAGTCACAGAACAGCACTGAAGAACTTACAAGACTATTTATAGGTCAGGGTCCTATAGCACTGGACTACACTGCGTTAGCTCTCAGAGCGGCAGCCAGAGGTGAACACAGTTTCAAGCCAGGCTGCATCTGCTGTACAAGTTACCCAGGAACCTACAGCAAACAAGGGCAGGCAAGGAGCAGTTACTGTCTGAAATAAAACTTCATTAAAGTAAAAGATAGCAAAAGGCAGACATGCATAATTTATGGTGGTAATTCTGTATGTCAGGGGCTATTAGGTTCTAATGGCTCTTGAGAATGTAAATCTAATTCTGTCAGCCAGAGTAGCCAAAGAAGCACCTACACAAAACAGTCACTGTCAGAAGTCCCTTATCGATTGGAATCTATTGTAATTGTGTAGTTACTGGTCTCTGATTAAACAAAACGAAACAAAACAACCCCAAACACAAAATACCAAACCATCCTGCCATCTGCCACATTATCTCCCTGTTTCATCTCCCAAAGACAATTCCTGCTTTCTGGAGTTCACCCTGACACAGAGGAAAGTTCGTAGTCACTGGATGAACTGAACTGCCTCTCTACCTTCTTCTGATCTTTGATCTTTTGCAGAATGTTGACCTTTTTTTCAAAGTAGTTTACAAGGGCTGTCTCCGTCAGCATGGAAGCCAAGATCTGCTCAAAGGAGATAGACCAGTCCGTATCGATGGTACTACCATACCTGGCAGCTGAACTACTGCCTTCACAACCAACCAGGACCGTGTCGTCTGCAATGTCTTCACACTGCAGGGAGCCTGTGCTGACCATGGAGTAGGAAGACATGGACATATCATCTTTGGTTTCATCATCTGATAGCAGCTGTAAAGGAGAGCCTTGTCCTTCCCCTGACCCGTCTCCTAGAGTTTGGTTCTCCTGCTGTGTTTTTTCAGGCTGAGCATCTCCACAGGTTTTGTCCTCATGGTCAGTTTGGGGTTGCTGCTCCACTGCTGAATTCTGACTGTGTTCAGATGTTGGTGACTCCTCTTCACTCACGGGATCTTGAGTATTGTTTGCTTTGCAGTCCTCAGACTTCCTCATGGGCCGAGTGGAGAATTTTTTTCCAACCTCTCCAATTCGCAGGAGGAGACTGGCTACAGTAGCAATTGCATGGTACAGCTCTTGCTCCACCGGGTCCTCACTGAACATGTTGTAAAGAGTCTTGCATAACTCTATGAATTGTTCCTTTAAAAGACAAAAAAAAAAAAAAATCATACTTCAGGCTGAAAAATGTTGACAGTGGCAGATGAAGCAACAGGCACCATCTTCACTGACTCCTTATTTATTTGCCTCCCCACCAAGTGGCAACTTACTGTACCGATTCAGAACAGTCCAACACAGGCAAACTCTGCTGCAGTGGCTAAATTGAGACACAGCTAGTAATTTAGTATCGATGGGGTTTTTTTTTGCTAAAGATGAACAGAGTACTCACACGTTCACATCTCACAAAACCTGAAAATTTTACTTCTGTCTTGTTACTCTTCTGTGGTCAGCTTTTAAGCATTTCCAAACCGGTTTAAGTAGCACCCATCAAGGAAATCAAAGACAGAAAAGATCACACCAGTCATCAGACTCTCTTTCCTGTAACCACATTCTTTGCTCTCCACCAAGCAGCTGTAACTCAAGGCAATGCAAAACCAGAAACGCCAAACAAGTTTATATGACTGATGGCATATTTGAAACATACTGCTCTGGAGGGAAAACATAGATTGCAGTTCTTATAGGAATAATTGATCTGGGAGGCAGAAAGAATCAAATACATTCGATTGGTGGTAACAAAGCAGTTTGTCCATGTTCACTGAGGAATTCAACACAAATGTGTGGAATTAGAGGCCTCTAAAGCTCACCAGGCCCGAACAGCAGGGCAATCTACAGGCAAGGACTGAGTATGTTGGCAAAATGGCTGCACATACTGCTGAATTCCCCACTAAGCTGTCAGTCATTTAACTGGAAACCTTCACATTCACTTCTTACCTGGCTCATTTTGGGGAGATCTTTAATGGTTTCTTTCTTGGACTCTTTTTCCTTGGCCCACATTCTTAGGTAGTATCTATAGTCCTGTGGACTGGTACCTTTCTCCTCTGCAAGGCAAGACCAAGCCGCTATTGTCAGGTGGTTAATGGTTTCAGGTTTAAAAAGTGAACGCTGTGTCAGCAAAAATCATGCTGAAAGCAGGTTTTACTGACAGTTCAGGAAAGCATCGACCAGGAAGGCTGCATTGTTTTCTGCTGGTTTATGTGATCCAGCTCAGTAGAGCAAAAATTTTAACACTGCTGCATCAGCTTGACTTCTCGTAAATGAACTCCATGAGTTGACGACTTACCAAACATGATTTACAAATGTTATGATCTTGGTATGTAAAACAGTCAGAGCAGTACGACATAGGAGAGATTTATTTCCCAGCTCACATCCCACTTTACCTGTGTCCACGAGGGACACTTTGAAAGGTCTCCTTGATGCAGAAACAGACAATGAACAGTTCATAATATGAGAGAGACAAGACTAAAGTGTGGTCTATTTGTGATGAAATTACCTTTTTCTGGACCATTCTCATTTGTCCTTCCTTTATCTTCTGGGGTTTCTAAAAAGTTATGGAATTATAAAAGAATGATTAATAGCTGATTTTCAGCAATACATGAAGAACATATACAAATTAAAATCATACAAGAATATATTTAATAGAAGTTAGATCTCACACTCCCACATCATGTTTGGAGGAGCGAGCAGAACAGGATGGAAGCAAGAGGCTGACGAGATGAACTGGGTAAAGAGACACACTGAAAAGGTGGGTTGAAGAGCTGAGGTAGAGGGTAGAACTCTTAGCAGAAAGGGTGAAACACAGGTATGAAAGACAGCTAAGCAATGTGACGGTTTAAAGACAAAGAAGTTCAGTTTCCAAAGCAAGATAACGAATGGAAAAAACCCAAACCACTACTGAGCACATGTGACTAATATCTACACTTCCCATTATTCACTGACTGAACTGACACTTTGAGAGTAATTCGCAGAGTCTGACTTCATAAACTTCGCTCCTGGTTCCCTATATTGTCACTAGCTATATAGGAAGTCTTGGCTCAATTCTGACTCTTAAGTTAACCACCTAGCACCAAACTACCCCTTGTACTTAGTCAGATTTTTTTTTTTTGAGGATTATTACATTTTGGTAAACATTTAGCACAACTGCCATACTTTGACTCCCTATTTGACAATCCCTAAAATTGTATTTTAAGAAATACAGTAAATTAGTCTAATAATTTTACTATTTGATGGCATGCATCCTTACTGCTTTAAATTAGAAGACCGTGGAGGAGGCACAGGTGACATCTACCCAGGCCAGCAAGCCTAGCACCCCCCATGCTCCGTTCTGAGCATATTTCCCCTCTGCCAGTTTCTAGGGTGAAATAAATTCCACTGAAAAAAGCCAGACAAAACTTATTTTGACCAAGGCTGAAACTCAATAGGTTAAAATATACTGAAAGATCTCTAATTACTTATAGCACTTTATTCATAGTGGGAGTGTCACAAGAGAGGAACAGCAGCAACAACTTCTGAGTCTTGAAAATAGCACATGGGTGCTGGCAGATGATATCAGCATTATAGCCATGCTCAATGCATGCACATAATCCATGGACTGACCTTGAGACTCACAGTGCAGGCAGAAATCCAGCTCTGAGACAAAAGGAGATACTTGAGCAGCAGAAAGAGGGGTTGAGGGGACAATATCCCACATAAAACAAGAAGAAAAGGCCAGACATAGACAGACACAGAGAAGGAAACAAAAACAAGAAGAGAGACAATGAGACTTGCATGAAAAACCTAAGTCATGGTGGGAGACAGGGGCTGGTAAAAGCACACTGCTCCTCCTCAGCAGTCTATCCATGGTTGTGCTTCAGAGCATGCTGTGTCCTGCATGAAATGGCCGCTGAGGAGTTTAAACTCCAAACTTCTTTCCCATCATGCAACAAAGACCGCGAACTCAAACACACTGGCAACCTTACCATCCTGCCAGCGTGAGACCATGCCTTGCAAAAAATCACCATTCATAGCACATGGATTTATGCTACAACTCCTGGCTAAACTGAGGTAAAGGCAGCAAGTTTTGCATTACCTTCTGTTGTAACGTCCTCTGTGAAATAACTCGTAGCCTCCAAAGCAGACTCTGTCTCCTCTGGATTCAGAGCTGTATTTACAGAGAAGGAAATGTTAACATCTCTAAGCTAATTGAACAGCAGTATCACCTACTTCATTAGCAAAATCCATGAGGCATCCCTTTTCAACTGCATGTCAGAACAGACCATGCTCAACAGTAGCAATATATGAAAGCAATCACTCACCGGGAGGCAGATGCAGTTTGTAAAGTACTTTGAGTTTTTCAGTGAGGTCACCATGGTACATCCCACCTGTGAGGAGAAAAAAAAACGGTTCAGAAAAATAGCGCTTAGGATAAAGAATCACCGTCTGCTCACAGGCTTAAACCAGAATGAGTTCACATGCAATGAGGAAACGCTAACTGCACAAAGCCCTGTGCAAAGCCAGTAAAGAAATCCACAGCAAAGTTGCATCTTGCTGGTTTGCCACCTATCGTTTCCTAAAACAGGAGACTGACTAGCAGCAAAAAGGCATCTTTTGTTCTGCCTGAGGCTTCTAGTAAGGGACATAGCACCCTCCCCTCACGACAACGCAAACATCACTATCTTCTTTCAGTTTTCCACTTGGAAAAGGACAGAAGCATTTTTTGCAATATTCCATCATCTCCAAAAACACCACTTACTCATTCCTGTCACAAACTCCTTGAAGTTAATGAGAGAATCCCTGTTCTCATCCAGAAGCCGGAACAAACGCCCTGCTAGCACAGGCGTATGTGCACCACAGGACCAGGGGGTCAAACTGATGAACAGCTCTTTGAACTGCTCCATGTCTATGCGATACTGCTCCAGGTAAGGTAAACTCTGATCTCGGCGGGCAGCTGCAGCACGATTATTTCCCCAGTAACAGCTCATCAGATACTTTGCCTTTGGAGGGAAAGGATTAATAGATCAGATTATACTACACTACAAAAATCCACAAGAATGGAGACTTTGTTACAGCTCAAGAATAGCATCAAGTAAGCAGAGACATTTCGGGACACGCTGTTTATCCCCCCCATTACTCCTAGCATTACTTCACTACAAAATAATATGAAAGGAAGGAAGAGACAGGGATTTCACAGAAAGCACAAAGAATATTTTTAAGGGAAAAATACAAAAAACATGATTTCAGGTTTGAATGAAATGACACTCAGGCTTTACTTACAAAGGGAACATGCAGTTTTTAGAACTAAGCCTCTCCTTCTGAGTCTAGAGCACAGTGCAACTGAGTTTGCAGTGACTTTGGTAAATGCAGTTGGGTAATATCACTCTTTTAAAAACACATATATTGACAAATGGAGGCAAAGCACTGCAGTAATTTTGTCACAATTACAGAGCAAGTCAATGGCAAACTTGACAATAAAAATTGAGGTACAGTCAATCTTAGCTCCCCATTCTAAGTGTTATGTGACATTCCTTTCCATTGACTCCACAATCTCTTTCTGCGTAAGTATTATTCAAATACTGTGAATGTGTTTTGGACATCTTTGGGGGAAAAAAAAAAACAACCCAAAAAAACCCAAAACCAAACAATCAGATAGTAATAGGGCCAGTCTCACTGGCACCATATATAACAGAATGCCGCATCTGTTTCTGATAGGATGGATTAAGAATCAAAGCAAAGTCACTGCTTCCCTTTCAACTTATTTTGATATTTGTTCTCTCTGTGTCAGAACATTCTTCCTCACTCCAGCTTCTTACCTTGAACACTACATACAGCTCTTCTAGTTCTTCAATAGAGAAACCAATGTCACTAGACACAGCTCGGACCTATAGTTCGGGAGAAAATAAGAGTGAACAATTTATTTCAAAGCTAGAAAAATTAAATATGACTCACTGAAAAATCTGTGTAACAAAAGAGAAGAAAACAAGTGCAAGAAGATATGACACAGGACAGGAGGGGAAGCCTAACCATTCTAATACCTCCCATGGCTATGGATTATAGGTCAGGAAGACAGTTTCTGGTCAAGCAAAAACTGCTGACATTTTGAGCAGCTAGAAAAAATTGCTGCGCTTATTTCCTGTTTGTGCAGACCTGACTGTGCAGACTGTGTTGCCCCTCTCTCTTGTTGTTATCTTCAGATATTTGACTCAGATGCATTGAAAAACAACAGTGAACGAAACATGTGGATGAGGTTCTCCACCTAGGACATGGGAGATAATTGCAATAGATATGGATATTCCCCTTTGGCCATGAACCCTTCTGTAAAATTCCCTAATGCACTAGCATACTCTCTCAATGGCAGGAAAATAATTATCTGCTGGCTAGCTTGTTTCAAAGATTCCAGGCAAGCAGTAAAACAGACAGCACTAAGCAGTGGAGACAATCACAAGGCTTGCAAGTGGTTTTTACCTCCCTCCATGCCAAATACCTCGTTCAATCATGCTCTAGCACTTCAATCCATTTTATTAGATTAACTAGAACCATGTGAAGAAGAAAACTGAAAATCCATTAATCCAGTCAGTAAATTCATTTTTCACATGAAGTGCAATTCTTTAAGTCACTTAAAACTGGGTATGCTACAGCACAAACTTTCTAGATGCTCACAGCAAAACACATTCTGTTAACATGCCATTTGGTAGCTCATTCAATCTGGGAGTCACATACCACACTCTTCTTGGCTGTATCCTCCAGAGACTGGATCACTTTCAGCCTTTGTTTAAAACGCATTTGTTCAATGTCATCTGCCTTCAGATTGCTAAATTTCTACAAGAAAGGAAGCAGACCAGGTCAGCATCATCTCCTAAAGAAAGAACAACCCCTGTTCAATTATATGTTCTTTAACATATAATTATATGTCCCCTCGGAGATGATCTAAAACCCCTAGAAGCCTTTTGCCAGCAGCAAGATGACAAGAAAAAACTTGAGCTCTATTCCCTATTCACCCCTGTCCTGCAAGAGAAGTCATTCAGAATTCGTGAGAAATCCAACATCAGAGGTTTCTAAAGAAGAGCTGAAAAAGCATCTGTCAGGACTGATGGAAATACAGATCCTGTGCTGTGGCAGGAATAAGAGAATAGGCAGGTTGTCACTCCTCCCAGCCCTGTTTTTTTCTAGGACCTATATGAGATTCAGCTAGAAACACCAAAGTTGACAAGCTTTTCTACTGACTAGGTCAGGCAACTAAGGTGAATTTGGTGACACCCTTTTATAAAAGAAACTGAGAACAAATAGAGATGGCAGATTTGAAGAAACAAACAAAAAAATCAGCAAAATGATAGCTGCCTGACTGCCAGCAGCTACAAGGGCACAGGATGAACAACAGGAGATAAAAAGGGAAATGAATCCACATTTACCACAACACAGTAGAGAAGAACTGTCAAACACCAGCTCTGCTGCCTGTGTTCTTTCCATCATTCAGATACAAATTTCTTATGAGTTTGTTCTCAGTATGAATAACGAGGTACACCTCCACCAGTACAAACGTATTCCAACAGCACTGGCACCATTCTCGGGTCACTTTCCTATTACTATAATGTGGATCCCAGAACAGGATTCCAGTGCACCTGAACTGGGATGCTTCTGTGTTTCTGCAGTATGCCTCACAATTTTAACCCTGAATGTCCTTCCCCAACTTCCTAGCACTGAGAATCCTCACATACAAGTAAGAATGGAGACTTTTTCTTCCTGCTTTGCCAAAAAAATCTCTGGTCTATAATTTTTATTTATTTGCAGTCTTTGTCTTAGTCTCCACTGGTGTTGGGGAGACTCTTTGCAATCCACAATAACCAACAGCGTTAGGCTCTACTCATACCAAAACAGGAGGATTAATGGCTTGGGCTTGCACTCCTTGAGCACCTCAAGCTACGAACACTGGTCAAATTCTGGCTGCACAAAGTATAAGACTAGATGTTAGCAGAGAAAAATTTCTTGGGGAAAAAAACTAATCCAGAACCTTACCTCGTAGGATGTTTTGATGAGCTCAAAGATGTCGATTTCAAGTGGCGGGTCATCTCCACTTGTCAGTAAGGCGTGCAAGTGGGGAATAGGGGGAGAGACACTCTGTCTGTTAACTACATTGTCCAAATACCTGTGGGGAAAAAACAGATGTAAGACTCCAGGATTAGTGACCAGAAAAAGAAGTAATATCCTAAACGCATCATTCCCAACTTGTTTGTATCATTAATCTAAATATGTAGGAAAACGTAATTTTTCCCAGCTAACCTGCAATACTACCTGCAATGTAGCTGAAGTAAAGTTGATTCTCACCCTATTTTTGGCGTATGTCCTCTTTTTAAAGTGGGCTTCAAGTAGTAAGCTGAAGATCTTGCTGCACATAGAACTGTAGCAAGCAGGTATCTCCCAAGTCTAGTAAATGTAAGATTTTTCTATGTTTCTAGAATGCAATTCCTGCCAGATCTGATCTTAATAGTAGATCAGAATTTTTCAGTGAATTTTGGACAACCAACCCTTTGGAGTTTAAATTCAAACTGAGATGGAGGAATGCATTATGCTGCAAAGCACACAATTCTAGTAATATGGGATTCCTCCATATTTGAGCCAAAAATTCATTCCAGTTGTTGTAGAAAGCAATAGCAAACCTCTCTGGTGCTCAAGTTGCATCCTAGAGTGTTTGTTATCTGTGACCTGCTATGTAGTGGAATTAGGTAGAAAGAGATGATGACTAAAAGGGAACTGTTACTAGTCAGTTACAAATAAGAGCAATGAATGGTACCTGCCCAGAATAGTCATGGCTTCACCTTCATCACAGCACTGTAACAACTTCTCCATGTTGGCATCGAGTATGGCCAATGACATCTGCAAGATAAACTTGATTCCCTCATAGAAAAAACAGTCAACAATGACCACGGCACTCTCAAAGGGCATGACACTGAGAAAAAGAGTGAGAAACCAGGAAAGAGATATGGTGGAAATCACTCCCAGGTCCTGCATCTTTTCTGACAGCTGTGGAAGATACTCGCGTGTAAGTTCTTCAAAGATGCCTTGGTCCACCAATGCACCTGGGAAAAAAAACAACTAATGGTAGAACTCAAACTGGTGGTATCATGGTGCTATACCCTGGTGGTATCATGGTACTATATACCCAAGCTAATAAATTATTAAACAAAACAGTGTAAGTTCACTTTCATTTCATATAAGCCTCTTAACATCCGAACTAAAATTAACACATTTATTTAGATTTTTTCCCTGTTTTCAATAACACCAACATATTTAGATAGAGACTATTCCCACATTGCAGAGCATGTAGAAACAGAATCTCTCTTTGATCTATGCATTTTTCCTGAAGGAATGATTACTGATATTATGGTATTTACATCAAACTACACTCTTTTACACAGACCAACTTTAACAGCCTACGAAGTGGTGCTTTCACTAACCTTTCCTGGGAGCCTATTCCAAAGATTTAATATATCATTCAGATGGGTAAAAAAATAACCCAATAATTTTCTTCTAGATATGCCTCCTTATATGACTGCTAATGGTCCCTCCTGATACCAATTTCTAGTGACTTCATCTTCCTTGTTACTACAAGGTAGTACTACTAACTTGGTAGCCTGTAGTGTCTCTTCCTATGTCTCCATCACACACCTGCAACTTTAAAGGGAACAGGGTTGTGCTTCATCATCTTTAAAATGCATCACATTTAATTCATTCTGAAAAATAAAATGTTCCTGAGAGATGCTGGTGCAACTGTAGCTGAAAATCCAGGCTCCAGCATGAATTTGACAAAGACTCACCCACTACTCTTGTGTTGTAGTAATCTGGCAACATCCGCTCACATAAAGCCACTAGGAGCCAGAAAGCCTCTTCCTCATTGCAGTATAGCAACAGTACTGATGTAACAATGTTCATGGCCTACGGGCCGGCAGAGTTAAATATGTAGATATAGGAGAAAAACATGAAGATGTTTCATGAAAGCTCTGTCATAACAGACCAGCTAAACATAAAAAGCATGAATACAGCAAAACTGGCACTAAGAGTCACATCTATTTCCAGCTTTTACTGGTATCTAAGTCAATAGATGACCTTCAGCCAATTTATGTTCCTGTTTCAGTTCCTTTGGTTGTGAGGCAGTGAATACAACTATTTTGTCAAGCACTTTCATTAATCAATGTGACTAAGCATAGTTTTCAAAGTTTTCATAAAAAGTTCCGTTAACAATTTGGTCGTAACAGAGTAACATAATGAGAACCTCTAATACAAGAGCAATACACAAAATGAATCTGAATTTCCACTGAGTTGTTTCACAAACCAGCACCTGGCTTTGTTTTCAATATACTGCCCATGTGCATCATCACTTATTCGATTTAATTGCTCTTTTCAATGAAACCAGAAGATGTTTTTGCTGAACTAGGGAAATGTCTTGCAGGAAAACTAGTCAAAGACTAGTTAGACCTAACAGAAATATGCAAAGTCTATTTAAATGCTGTATCCAAAGGAGAGTTAAGAGATCTTGCAACACCACCACTTCTTTGCTATCACAGCACCACATGGGCAGCATGAAGAAAAAACCTGAAACTGAACAAAAAGCTGCAGAAAACATCCAAGTCGGCTGTGGTCATTGCATAGGGCTAACAAGTCCAAGTCTTTCTTACCTGACAGTACCCAATTGTTGGATTTCTGAATGCATAAGCTGTTAAGACTCTCCGGAGGGCAGCAATTCCCAGTTCATTCTGGAAGGCAGGATGTTCTGGCATAGAACGGTGCAGATCTCTCTCAATTTCCTCTGTAGCAAGATTGTATTTTCCCATTGACTGCTCCACAAGATCTGCATAGTAACCAGGATGAGTCACCATCTCATTCCAAGCCCCTGTAACGACAAACAAATACTGCTTCGCCTCTTGAGTTCTGGAATACAGATTTTATGCCCACAGTTTCAGAGAAGCGGCAGCCAGGAAGCACTACACGAACTCATCAACTACAAATAGATATGAAAGTATAGTAACAAACTCCTTGTTAAATATAATGTTAAGAGTCTAGGTCCCAACACTGAAATGCAGACAGAGGAGGCTACAAAGAAAATCATCTCAGGAATGCGATCACCACATTTTTGGCAAAAACACCACGAAGTATCATTCAGGTGGAGTTAACTTGTGATTAACTTCTGAAAGATTTATACCTTTTCCTTTGAGATGTGCAGAAAGCTTAATCCTGCTAGCTGTCAAAGTATTCAGCACAACCTCCTACCTGAGAAAAGGAGCCACAGCTCTCCACGAAGATTCTCTGGGATTCCTTTTTGTACCAGCTCCCTAGTCTTGGCAGTGCGATACATACACATTCCTCGCCCATATTCAAAGAAATGAATGTTCCAAGACTCTTCCTTCATCTTCTCCTTTGCCTTCACAGGAATAAATATGGCCATTTTAGGAGATTAATATATTTTTATGTTTGTAGGACAGGTGATTTCTGAGTATACTCAGGCCTACACTTCACAAGAGAAATGCACTGTGACATTTA